CGACAATAAGTAAACATATGGAGTTGTTTTGTTACATTAGCATACAGTTAGAAGCTTCAAAGTGGAGGAAATTGAATAGTATGTTTTGTTTTACAACAGTATATGATTTTTACAGCAGAAAGCAAGCAAGTCCTAATGTTGGGTTGGGTCAAGTGGCTAAGTGGTTGGGACAACTATCAAACATGGTGTGCCACATAAAGGCTCTTGAAAGCACCATCTCAAGCTCTTGGTGGCTCCAGTTGTTAGTTGGCAGATGTTGAAGAAACATCACCATCTCCTGGAAATCAAGCTTCAAAAGCTTATCTGACCACTGCATACAATTCAAATCGTTTAGCTTTAGCTTAACAGGTAGGGAGGTGGACATCCTTGCAGAATCAGTAGCAACTTAAAACAGTTGTTCAATCTTACTGTTAAAAGAAAACTGGCAAATATATACACAAGGAAGTCTGGTAAAGCGTCGCCTTCAGCAAGATATGTGTCCCATAAACGGGTAACAAGATGGAAAGGGATCTATTAAAACAACATGGATATTAGTGTAGTTTTGTATGAAAAAAAACATAAATAAACCGAAATTATTGGGAAAAAAAGATGAAAAGATTACAGTATTGAAGCAGACCTCTCGAATTAGAAGACAGTTGAACCAGCGGAAAGCGAATTGGAGAAACTCAAGCCCGTGCTCATCCATATGCTTTGCAACAGGTTCTAAAATTGTGGAAGGAGAGGACTCATCATTAGGAAACACAAAAACAATCAAATAGGGAAATCAAAAGAAATGTTTGCACTCTTTACATCCTAAGAAATTTTTGCAAGCCAAGGGTCTTCTTGGAAACAACCTCCCAGAGGTAAGGTCTACCTACGTCCTAACCCTGCCAAACCCAACCTTCATATGGGATACACTGAGTTTGTTTGGTTTGGTTTGTTTTACATCCCAAACAAAATGTATCATTTGACTCCTAAATAGAAATTGTTTCAATTATCATGCATCGAACAAGTCTTTATTGTTTCCCGTAAGTTGCAACACTTTCATCCCCTATCAACATTGAACAGGAGTCCATATACTATCTCTAATATGCATGGTTTTAAACCTGCAAAACTCCAAAAATTTGCTACAACTAATCATCTGATAAATAATCGACTAGTATCACAAAGGCTTGAACTTTTTTGCGTAATGTACTTACAAAACCTACATTTAGTACCTCATATCTGACTCAGCTCGAACATTTAGGTACCTGATTTACATTTGAGGATGCATGAAAAAGCAACATACTTTGGTTTAAATATTTGAGACATTCCATTTGAGATACCAAAATGAAGGTTTTCAAAGTACGTTACACAAAATAGGAATCAGACCAAAGTGCATTGCATTTTCATGCAATTTTCCATATAACAGACGACAAAATATTTGGTAGGATTGAGTTTCAAAATAATGTTTCCCAGCTAAAACAGCTAGTTAAAGCGAAAATACACAGAAAAGCCTTGTTGCAGTTTGAACAGTGAAATACGAAATAGAAAATTTGAAATCTAGAGAAGACGAAAAGGGCAATACCGTCAATTCGCCGGACTAGTTCCTTGAGTTTAAACACTAGCCTTTGAATCCCTGGCTGAGCAAACGTATAATGGTCTTGCATACCATCGAGCAACTTGGATAGACACCAGTAACAATCAGCTTCAACATTGGAGATCTTTTCAGGATCTAAATCAGCAACTGACCAATTATCAACGCTCCCTTCCAAATGTTCTGACAAGAAAACAACTAAAAAAGGTGTTGCAAGGTCATTTATTCCCTGGACATATCCACTTGCTGGATGCCTGATTGCCCTGTAATTAAAGAAAAAACCACTTAAGACCTTCAGAAAATCAACACAGGCACAAAATACTATCTATTCTAGTTGCATCCATAAGTATTTTCAAGAATACATGTTGACCTGAAGTATAACATATTTTTAAGCATGCTTCATTAATGTACACCAGAAGTATGAATGGGCTTATATTTGCCATTCAAGCTATGAACCATAAGTTAGCTTACTTTTTGAGTTCATTGATATAGTCCCATTGGTAAGCCATAGCTTATGAACTAGTGTTTTGAAAAGCTACTTCAGAAAGCTTTTTGATAAGTTGTATCCTTCTAGGGGCTTTTTCACATTTTTTTCCATTATGCCCCTTATATGTTAGAATTGAGTAATTTTTCAGTATGTCCTTTAAGGTCATTTTACATTGTCATCTAGTTTGTTAACTAGTTTTTACTAAACCTGAATAACTTATCAGTTTACAACTAGCTTATTAGCCAACAACTTACTTATTAGCTAGTTTGCCAAACAAGAGTTTGCATATCGGTAATTTGTTCCATGTTTTTTTTATTTAGGCAGCGAAGTAATTTGTCTAATTTTCATGCCAAAACGACCGGAAAGTGAGCTTTTGCAATCAAAGAAAAGAAAAGGTGGGTTGGGGTTGACCTTTTCACTAATACTGATAAGAGGCAAGTCTCTCTCCTTGTTATTAAAGAAAAGAAAAAACAAGATTTTAAAATTTAAAAGAAAAAAGTCAGGCCCACTAGTAATTTAAAATGGTACATGCAGCAGGGTCCATGCACACTTTCAAGGGATTTAAAGCCATGCTAGACAGAATACACCCTCACAACATGACTTTAAAATATGAAGTAAATTGCAGAAAAGTGGTTCGGGGTATCGCATCCCTAATACAGAAATGAAACAAGCACTCGCATGATCAAAAAGAAACTAAGAGATGAGCCTTGGAAGGATAGTAAATCAATTGAGAAACAAAATCTAACCATGTGTAGAGTATCCGCTCCAAAGATTTCTGCACTTCTGCTTGTTGGAAGAAAGTGACATCAGGCACAGTTCTAGGACAATCAACAGCAATCTAACATGGCAAGGGAGAAAAAAGGTAGATGAAAATTGATCACAAGTCATCAGTGGTAAATATATATAGGGAGTCTTTCCATGCATAATGTTTTGTGGCTCATCTAAAAAACCTTTTATGTGAGTGTCTCAACGTGGGTTAACATCCTGCATAAAATTAGAAATCTTGAAATACAGAGAACCCCCACATTACTTTCATTGATTTTCTATTCAGATAAAAGGTTCCCTGCATGTGGATACTCGCATAACATTATGAATGGAAGGGCTCCCACCTACATATAAGGAACAAAGACTTTTAGGAATCCCACAAGATAAATAGTCTTGCAGAAGCCTTTAGCCACACACAACCGCACTATAGGTACTCTTTGTATGAGCAAAATGTAATCATGAACCAAAACATCGAAATAGACTGTTATTTAGTTGGTGTCAAAATTGTTGTACTTCTCACAAACTTCCTTCAATTAAGCTGGTGCGGATGCATTGGGAAGACTGCATTTCTGATATTTTAGCCAAGCCACTTAGTAGGGGTGATATTGATCATATAAGTTTGATATGCTTAGTATTTTCTTCTCTAACTTCAAGAATGCTGTATAAATATAAACACTGCTACATCATACACACATATATATTATATGTATGCAAGTATCTGTATATGAAATGTTTGAGAATATATAAACACACATACATACAGATATATACATATCGCCGCACACATATATGCACATATTTGTGTGTGGTTGATTAGGGTTTTGTGTCCCAGCCATTCGGAACATTATCTAGTATCCACTCCATATACTGTCTTTTCTTTTCAACAATAGTGTTCTTTTAGGTCCTCATTTTTCTCGTAACGTAAATTTGCCAGGATCTACTGTACCTGCCGGAGCATATTAATCTCTTCATCAGTACGTTCAATATCTGAAATGTCATAATACTGAGCAACACAGTCAAAATATTCGATGCGCTTTCTTCTTAGGACTCCCTCCCTTCTATCTGAATTAGGGGGTGCATATCCCTGTTGTCAGTGTATATTTAAACTCAACACAAGTAAGAACAGTAAAATTATTAAAGATAACTTAAGTAATGCCTGTAACAGAAAAGAAAAATCTATGCTGTAAATCCTAATTAACATATGGGCATATAAGCATGACAATGTCAACAAAGATAATAAGAGCTCCATTGTAGAAGGGATAGACGTAGCACACCTTTCTGAGCTCCTTTCACATCCTCAAACATCAATACCAAAGTTGGATGCCAAATGTTAACAATATCATCATGCATATGCAACATTAATCTACGTAAACTTAGTAGTAAAGAAAAAATGAATGCAGCAACCATAAGCCACCTTATATTTTGAGAATATTGAAAAAATCTCATATGTGTAAGCCACAAGCTAGCTTTTCCACAAGTTATTTCAAGTAGTGTTTCAATAAGCTCCAGGGGTTTTTTTCCGCCCTTTTTCCAATTATGCCCCTTATATTTTCCAATTAATTTTTCAACATGTCACTTTAGGCCATTTTACATTGTTATCTAGCTTATCAACTAGTTTAACCAAACATGACTAGTTTATTAGCTAGCTTTTCAGCCATCAACTAACTTTTAAGCTAACTAGTTTATCAGCTAATTTGACAAACATAGCCATAACTTTCAAACTAATATGATCTTTGAAGTGCATGATGCACTTCAATTTCAGGCTATTACATGTTTTGATTTGAGCACATTGATCTTATACATGCGTGAAGTTATTGAAACATGGTTTTATAGTCTGATTGACTTGTTTCCTTCAATCTTCTCTTCTAGTTGGAATATACTCCTTTTCCATAATATTGAGTTATTGTGTCATTTATTCACCAGGTTTGACAGAGCGTCTATCTGACCAATTTATTAAGCCATAGTGATGTTAGTTCAGCAGCATCAGTGCTGGTCATAATGTACGAACAGAATGCAATCTATCTTAACATTTCCCAATCCATAGCTAGCACACAAAAAGTGAAGCTTACCAAGAGAAGCCTCCATACATTGGGACGAAGATAAGGTGGCACACCGCTCCATGCTAACTCACGCAACTTGTCTGAAAAGAAGAAGGTTTCACAGAAAAATCAAATTCTTGAGATTAGAGTGACTGAAAAACTTATTATGCTGTCACATTGAATGAATGGAATGATCCATGGGCGGTTTCATGATCATGAACATAACTGATATCTGTTGGTTTGTTTTTCTATTTCGGAACAGAATGAGCATAATCTACAAAAAGAAAAAACTATGATAGACTTATAGCATCTGTTTGTTTATATAAGATTCCGTTTTTTCTCACAAAAACTTTGATTTCATTCATCACTGAAAGAGAAGACACCTGAACGTCTCATCAACTGCTGGATATAACCAAGGAGTAGAAAAGATGAACTGACAAGGATAGGACCATATCAAGCCCAAAGAAATACAGGAAAGATAGAATAAAATGTTATTGAGCATATGAAGTTAGTGCAATACAGATGATATAGGAATGGACTGAACATTTTCAACTCTATAAATACCAAACCGAGCTGTTAATACATGAGAATATAGAGAAAAATCGTACTTCACATACAAAAGTTCTTTCTTTGAGTGGAAACAGATAAGTGTCCTCCAGATAAGAAGTCCTAGATTGATTTCAAGAACAAGATATACGGGTCTGATCAATAAGTCAACAATATAATCGCCTGTCCTTCGTCAATGTGGGTTACCCGAGTCTGTGTTGATGGTTCCCAGTCACTAAACTACCACCTCCCTTTCTCTATCTCAGACAGCCGTAAGGAAATTAGAAAAATCACACTTAAAATTGGAACGTTTCTAGGGTTATAATACCGTCTTCACCATCTTCTTCAATCACTGTAAGTTTTAATTCAGGATTTTGCAAGTAGGAAAGATCATAGTTGTTAAAAGAGCGCTTGAGGCTTGGCTAGGATCTGAGGCTCAAGGTCTTGGGCTTTTCTAAAGTCGAGGCTAGGCGTATTCACGAGGCTCACTAAGGCCCCGTGCCTTGGCTGAGGCACCTTGTGGGCCTAGGCGCGCCTTATAAAGAATTACTAAATACCAAGTCAAACCCCAATATTACATTAGTTTTCTCATCTTCTTATCTCTTAGACTTCTTAAAAAGAAGAGTTGTCATATAGATTTGAGCTGGTGTTCTTGCTCAATGACCTCTTCTTTTTTACCAGCCCCAAATATTTATCTGATCAGTGTTAAATATAAGATGATTATTGTATTTCGATGACTTCCTTTAAAGGTTATGTTGTAATTTTCTTTCCATTATGGAGAGAGAAGAAGAAATAAACACCCATTCCCTGAGGAAGCAAAGTACCATGTTACAAGGCAATGAGACATCTAGTGAGCGCTTCATACCATTACTAAGTAGTATCCTATTATATTGGAATGATGCAACCCAATCCAAACAGGCAAAACTCCATCTTACAGCAATGAGACAAAAAAATAGACAGAAACAAGAAAAATTTACGATTATGATGTATGTTAGTACATAATTGTATATGCATGACATGTGTATTGATAAAACATCTTCAGTTATTATATCATAATCATAATTAAACATATAGAATAAAGTCTAAACTACTTTAACGTTTAAAAAAGGTTAAGTACCATCTCTATTCAAAATCCTAATCAAATTGAAAAACAGTTGAGTTAATTAAAATTTACACCAAAAGGTAACAGAAAACATTATGCATGCTTCAAGTATTTTTTCAGATGGAACACATCCTAATACTTGAAGAGGGTCTTACTTTTATATACAACATGCCACATGTTTATCAGACAATTTCACCAGATTTTACTTGTCACATAGGACATGTCAACTTGGCCAACTATTTTACTGGCAACAAGCATAACAGAAGCTCATAAAAAGCATGTAGATTTCCTGTTCTCTGCGGATGATGGTCTGCATCATGAATTACACATAATATTTATTAATTTCTGGGCAATGTACTTCTACTTCGTCTAGGCAACACTACATTCTGGATATAATGTGAAGTGCTAGCTGCTTCTTATTTGAGGTGGAACGTTAAATATTCTTCATATTCATATAGCATCTGACATTTCCCACCGTTAAAGAAATCAAATAATATAGCAAATTAAAAGGAAACTTATTCGGTGACATTTTGAGTACCTAAAATGACAGTTGTGCCCCCCAACACTTTTGTGAACTTCATTAGCCTAGCAGTATCTGTAGCTCGGGCACCCATCACAAATCTTGGAGCCTCCTTCGACTTATCCTCAGGATTTGACATTGATGGTTTCAACTTGTTAACAGTTGTACTAGTATTTGGTTTATTTCTATGGATTTTATCCTACACAAAAGGTTCGAAATTCAGCATGAAAAAGTAAAAATTATGAACTTCAAATATAAATATCAAGGTCAAATAAACCTAGGTTGTAATCATCCGAGCTACCTCGTCGGGATCATCCATGTGTTTACTTGGTGACCTGTCAATTTCTGAGGGGCTCCGATTAACACCAGGAGAGCCCAAGACTGTACCATCTGGTGGATCCGATCTTCTTGTTATCAACACTTTCCCAGGAAAGCTGCGACCCTTTAACAGCCTGTTTGCATACAACATATAACGAGTCAGAAAATAATGTAGTAATTACAGTCAAGGTGAAGAAAATAACAGGAACTCAAATTCATCTGAGAGCATACAAGACCACCAACAGGAAGCATGCTTAGTATTTATATTACAATTTCTATAAATGGGTCCAAGATATCATCAACCACACTGCGTTTCTTCCTCTAATATCTTCCTGATTCATTTCATCATTCACGAGTGCATATATTACTTTTCTTTGCTTTTCTCCATGCAGAGGACATGGCAAACCTGTCAAACCCATGGCCTCAGTACACCAGATATGTTATCCTGTGTGCCCAAAAGTGTCAAAGGCACATAAACAGAAAGAGGTACGACGGCTATCCAAATTCATAGACACACCATCCCAATGAACAACGGACTAAAAGTTAACATCTTTACCTGAGAAAATTCCTTACTTTACTCTCATCTAGCAGCATCATAATCCACAAATTCCCGAGGAAATTACTTCATTAAGACGAGCACCGTAGGAAATTGAGCCAGGGTACATCCAATCACAGGAGATTCAAGAAAGAGCATGCAAGAACACATGAAATATTGCAGAGGTAAAGACATGTTTCCCTTTCAATGAAGTATGGTTCCAACCACGTGGGGCAACCCGAAAAGTTTTAGCTTTTTTTTCTACTGAATTCAAAACAGAATACCATGATATCATGAAAACGTGCCACACAACTTGAAAGCATCCATTCACCTCACAAGAACTACCATAATACAAACTCCCCAACACCAGTATCTATAATGTAAACCCTGATAGACTCATTTTCTAGTAGTCAATCATGGGCTATTGACTTCCCCATAATCCCTTGGCATTGAGTGTAGCGTCAACCCCTTGCACTTGTACTGAATGAGATGGCATCCCCTGCAGCACTTATATCTCCCCTATCTTTATGGAAAACCTGGTTGGCACAACTCCTGATTGTGCACCTCCTATAATTACACTGTATTTGAATTTCATGCCCATTTATAGAGGGGTTCAAATAAAAAAAGTTGCCATCCAATCTTCCTCTTAGTTCAGTTCTTCCAGCACTAATGATATTTGCTTGTTGGATTAGGGGTGTGTGGTTTTTCTTACGTTCAGATTTTCTTGTACCTACTTGTGTTTGTATGTTGTTGCTTGCTCCTAACTCGCTTTTGTTGTCTCGTGTTCTGTGCAAACTCTCTTTCTCCATGCACTTCTCACAAGCAGGGGGTCTTCACAGAAAGAGCCGCTTTACTCTTTGGGGTAGAGATCAAGCATGCTTACATCCCACCCTCCCCAGACCCCACCTCTGGGTGGGATATATTGGTCTTGTTTGGTTTAATATACCCAGTATTTTAATTATGCATACACGCTTTTTGATATTTCAAGATCTCAGAGCATTGCTACTTTGGGCATATGTTTGTAGCAGAACAAAGTAAGACAACAGTGAACATTGAGTTTTCAGATTGAAAAGGCCCCATTTAGATCTGGCTTTTGCTTCATTGCTCATGTCTTCTAATAGCAGTGGATTTACTAACGGAGACACAAACACAAACCCATAAACAAATTGTTTCTCAAAATACATAAAATATAAAAGTCATCCATGACTTCTATTTCACTTGCTACAGCTCAGTCCTTGAGAACAGTGTTTCACGTTGTGGTCCTTCCATCCCGAAAAAGTAGTCCAGTTATGTACATAGTAGTTTTCCTATTTGTATTTTTCAGCAAGAATTTGGTAACTTCTATCTACTAAATATTTCTATTCTGGTATCCCCTATGTAATTAAATACCGTTGCCAACTTTTCTACACAAAGATTCAAAGAAAATGATTATTTTCAATAGCACGAAAGTTGCCAGGAGAGAAGTCGTCCAAATTGAGCTTCAGGATCCAAAGTTTGAGCTTTAAGAGTTAGGACACGCATTTGGGGTGATCTATAGTTGTCCAAAATTGTGCTTTACAACCAAATTAAAGTGCAGGGAATTTTTTCTCGTTTTAATTGTGAAATTAGAACATATATGGGGTCAAAAGTCAAATCTAGACTTCTGGAGAACAGAGATAGTATAGTACAATCCCTAGAACAATTAGAATGTATCAGTTATCCACCAAAATAAACGAAATTACCAGGCATATAGATGGTGTGAATTGTGTTTCAATTTGCAGAAATGAAAAGCAAATTAAAAAAAAAGATGATACAAACAATCCTACATTTATACAAAGCATTATCATCAAAATTCTACCTTGCAGATCCAAAATTACTAATTTCTCACCGATCACAAAACGATAGTTATGCAATTCAATCAAAGCAAATTCTAGAACGAGCCGATGTGGGTTTCCTAAACGATTAGATAAAAAGTAATTCAAATGAGAAAAACGTACGAAATTCGAATCTGTGTACAAGATCAGATACATAAAAGAACATACCCTTGAACACTTCTGAGAGTTTGATTAAATCTTGAATCAAGGGTTGTAAGAGGGGAATTAGTTGGAGAGGTCTCTTGCTTCAGATCTTCTTCCGTGCTGTGACTGTTGTTGCTCTTCATGGTTTGTTGGCAACAACCATGGTGGTTCGTCCTCACTCCGGCCTTTTCGAGACCCAAAGACACAAAAAATTCAAGTTCATCATGTCTCAAGAATTTTTCAATTACCTCCCATGATATTTGGCATTGTTGTTAAAAAGTTCCCTCTTTTAAACCTAAATGCATTGTTTGGCTACCATATGTGGAAACAACTAAAAATGTCATCCATTTGATATGTGGATATGTATAATAATTTAACTCTATGGTTTACATTTGCACTTATAGTCCTTTATGTAATTTTGTGTATCAATACTCCTTCAGGTGACGAACGTGAAATACGAACTATGTTCAGTTGAAATTATTTTCATCATTTTAAATGGTAGTTTTAGTTTTTGGGATAGATGATACATCTACATATATCCCACTCTCAAACCCTGCTTTCAAGTCAGATATATTGGGTTCGTTTGGTTTTGATTTGATTTGGTTTAAATTTAATACTACTTCTTATAAAATTTAACTCAAATTTCTACATCGTCAATGAATACTTTTCTTAGAGGTGTGTGTCATCTCAAAGAACATGTATTTCAATCACTTGTTAGAAAACTTGTTTTTTGTTCTTCAATTGATTATTTTGTGAGGTTGTTGCTTTGTAACTTTTGGAAATATAATAGCATCATCTTTTCAAATTTGGATCAATCTATGTCCATGTATGTAACAACCCGACATGAGGGCTAGAAGTTTTATAGCAATAAATCGTTAGTTAATGAAATAACTAGTTCAAATTATATGTTTTACTGATAGGGTTCAAGGACAAACCAAACAAACCCAATGAGGTGTACATGTAGTGGGGTATAGCGACCATAAGATGTACGCTAACTTTACACTATTCTGAAGGGTGGTGAGGTTGTTTTCCTAACGAATCCAAAAGGGTTCACGGCTGAATGAACTATATATTTTGACTTGAGAAAAAATAAATGATGATTACAACCATGAAATTGATTTGAGAGGGATGATCCTTAGCTTATTGCCCACTCCCTGGCCGATGAGCAAGGTTATTGCTCAAGCCTTGGGGCGATGAGCTATGTTATCGTTCATCACTTGGGCGATGAGTTATGTTATCGCTCATCACTTGGGCGGATAAACTCCAACTTCCAACCAACTTCATCGCTCAATCATAAGGGTCATCGCTTGAAGCCTTGAGCGATGAGATGGCTTACTGGACAACACTTTATCGTACAAAGAGTAACAAGGCAATCCGTGAGGTCATCGCCTACCAAGACACTTCATCGCTTGGTGTGTTGAGCAATGAGGGATCTTATCGCTCAGCACATTGAGCGGATACCAACTTTGAAGCATATGACTTCGACGATGAACTTGGTCTCCGGATAAGCTTTGAGCGATGAGGACACTTTATCGCTCAGAACTTTCAAAATTTTCGTCCAAGTCCAATTGTTATCGCTCAATACCAAGTTACCAAGAAACATAATATGCCCGATGAACGCTTTATCGCTCAATACTTCGTATCTTCGTTGAGCGATGAGCACCACTTTATTGCTCAATGAATATCTTCAATAGGCGATGAGGAAAGATTTTTTACAGATAAGCACAGTTCGACTTTTAGATCATCAAAAATATCAATATTTAACATATAACACCAAAAATTGATGATCCAATTTGGTTCGTATTCACCTAAATGTTATTCCTTTAGCATTAATTAGATTAAAACAATAAGAACAAGGTGAATTAGATCAAATTAGGCTCAAATGTCGAACATAAAGTTGATGAAGGATCTAAGTATTGTTCCATTGCAAAAACATAATCAAAACTTGACTTTTGCTGCTGAATTGAATGATTGTATCGAAAATGATGATTTGATTATGCTCTGATACCAATTGATGTTCCCATATCAACAACAAATCAAGTTTTATTCATGATATATAGATTGAGAGAATGTAGATGAAGAACATGAAGAACCGGCCAGATTCTATTATTGGAAAGTAGAAAACTTAAAAACTCTCAATCATCTTACACGACTCTTATTGGAATGATTAGAATGAACAACAACGACTCTAAGCCTTATGTCACCTATTTAGGTGACATTTACAAGTAAAGCCAGTGCTCTTATCCCAAATAAAAGATATTACAATACAATACAATGTAAAGGACTTTATAGAACTTTCTAAAACTTTCTAAAACCTAGGACTACTTTAGTCCTAACACTTTGGAGATAACATCTGTTATAGAGTTTTAGTAAAACCTGTCCTTAACTTAGATTTTGTGTAAGATTTGGTTTATATATAATTTATGTCAAATCTTAGATTTCCAATATAGATAATCAAGTGATGACCTTTAGAAGTGAATTTATTCTTTATCTGATGTATTATAAAAAATTCAAATTACTCGCTCTTTTCCATATTTACGGTGTTACAAGTTGGTGTCAATGGATAAGTTTGAGAGATTTTGGGTATTGATTTCCGATCCCTAGACTCAAACTAGCATTTTTTCCAAGTGAATGAAAGTGAGAATGTACAATTGGACACTTTAAGATTGGATATGTTGAGGTCGATAAAGATACTAGCATTAGAAATCATGAAGTTGGTAGCAAGAATCCTCATGTATGGTACGTTCATAGTCATCAAGCCAATGTTATTATGAGTTCACGGGTACATATGTGTGCTCGAATCTCCTTGATGTGATGATCGATGGAGAGAGTGAGTGTATTCCTAGTGAATAATTGTTGGAAGAATCGATGTTTGTAGCATTGTCACCATGAGTGACAATTAAGTATGTTGATTACGTTAAGCGGATCATTATGGGTCAGGAAGATTGCTTAAGTTTGAACCATAGGCTTGTTGAATTATCATAAATTTTATAGAAATTGTAAGGTTAATCAACTTGGTTGTGGATTTTCATCTTAAGATATTTGAGCATTTGAATGTCGGTAGAGTTACTAGTAGATTTGACAAGTGTGATTCGAAGAACTTGGGTCTTCACCAAACATGTCATGTTGCAAATTTTGGCGAATGTTTTGGCACATATAGATGTGCGACCCATGTGTTTGAAACATATGAATTATGTTGTTGCATAGGACTTGCATACAATTTTTGTTGAAAGTTTTCTTCATGTTATTTTGCCAACATTGTAGAAAGTTGATAGCATACTATTAGGTAGCTTTGAACTTGAAACTGAAATAAATCATCCCATGTTTACCCAAAATGCATGCACAGATTGTTTATGATTTTTGAGAAATGAATTGATGCACGTGAGATTTGGGTCAAGTTTTAAAATACATGAAGCTACTCTATTGCATACGTTTGCATGCAAAGTTTTGATGATAATTCTATTTCATGTCATTTTGTTGCTAAATAATATTTTCTAGAAGTATTTTGCTTTGAATTTTGCATGAACATGTTTTTTTTTTTTTTTTTTTTTTTTTTTTTTTTTTTT